TTATATTACATTTATTATATTGTATTAAATTGACTTTAAAAAAGAGGTAAACCTTTCTAGCAGTACTAGTGTGGAGGGAAGAGGAGGATGTGGGGGATCTTCACTGATCTTCCAGTCAGTTCTCATCCCCAGGTTCTTTCCTCCTCATAACATTTTGATTGAGAAGGAAACTTGGAGTATATGTGTCCTAACTGGAGTGTGTGGTTACTGTGCAACTGATAGACCAGAACAAATTCTGCAGTCCAGGAAAGAGTTTTCTACATATACCATATATCTGTATACAGGGATAACACCCAGCTGAAACAAGGAAACTGCACAGAATGAATGCAATTAAACCCACTGGTCACTATGGGCCTGATTAGAGAGGGGGGATTGTATTTTTTACATTTGACCAAATTTTTTTCTCTTAGTTTAATTTTTTGATTGTCACAATTTAAATGACATTACTTAGAATGGCAAAATTTAGAGATGCAGTAAATCTTCTTGTCTGAATTCACTTTGAAGTAAGAATGCTAGTGGGTTTGAAATCCAGATCTACGAGCTAATCTCTAGTTTTCCCTTCAAATGGAATTCAGCTACAAAGAGCTTGGAAAGATTTTGCATCTATTCAGGAGGCACATCTTTAATTTTCTGAGGAGCAAAAAATCCACAAGAAACTTCATATGGCTCCTTAGGTTTTGCTTAGCATATGTGATAAAACATTGATTGTTGCAGTTTGGTGACCCATGAAATTTGGGGGTTAGTTTTCTCTTCAGACCAGAGCATATAATTATGCAAATAAAGAGCTGTCACTGATCTAGTGAAATACTCTCTAACACATGCAATCCAAAATGGAACAGAAAAGTGAAATTTGTGGTATTATGATGATACAATGATAAATGACATCTCCTTTCAAGTTTTTATAGAAGTACATTTTTCACACTTTGTCGAGTACATCAACATAATGCGGACGCACACACACATGCACACACACACACATCCCTGTGAGATCGAGATATCCATGAATGCGTGCAGTCACACACACACACATGCATCCTTCCACTATGTAAGATAGCTCTACCCTGGTGTACGAGGGATGTACACATTCTTGGCAGGTTATTTTTGGTTTGGTTGACTTGAGAATGGTGCAATATGTGGCTCCATGCAGTTTTAGATGTGACACTTTCCATTTGTACTTCTGAATGAAATTTCTAGAGGGGAGAAATACTCCACTACCCACAGTAAGTGATGTTTCTCAGAGACAGAGGAAAAATGCACATTTCCATGAAAAGTAGCGGCTTCTTCTGAGTCTGGGAGAATCACACTGTGAGAACTGTAACTGTAACCAGTGCGCGGCCATGTACGCACAATGAAAGTGAGGGATATCTTTGCTTCCCCCCTGCCTTTTTTCTTTCTTTTTCCACACAATCCTACTGTGTTTGGGGGCCTGCTGGCTGTTTTCGCTAGGGACATTTCTTTCTTGTTCTCCATTCTTGACAACTAAGCACTGCTTTCTTTGGTCCATGGCTTTAACAGCGGTATTTTGACTTGGACAATGGTGTGCAAACCTTTTGGGTGGCAAGGATTTAGGAGTTTTCGTAGATCCTGTTGCAGGGTCGGTTTTGTTGGTTTTCTGTTGTTCTTTTCCATTTGGGGGTTTGTTGTGTTTTTAGGCTTTTTTTTCTGTTCACTTTTGAACTTGTAGCTCCAAAGCTACCTAGGGCAGAGGCTGGTGCACCATGTCACACGTCAGGGAGCTTTGCTGTGATGAAACTAGGAGGAGGTGATGTCAGATCTCTGTCTCCTAAAGACATCATGGCCTGAGGAGCCAGTGGTGTGCATCTTTAAAAACATCAATCCAAATAGGCTAAATCAACACTCATCCCTCCTTAGTGTGCTGCAGCGTTACCATTGTCACCTTTCCATGTGACACTAATGTGGTGGCACATGCTGGGATGCTCCCACACCTTCCTCTCTCTCTGCAGACCATGCAACCTCTTCAGCTGAGGCTGCAAACACTGCCTCCTCCGTCTCTAGCCCATGCTCCTTGCAAAAGGCCCTCCCCAAAAAACTGCTCAAACTCCTCCCTTGGTGTAACTTTATGGTTTCATGTTTCTGAACAGTAAAGGGGACAGGATGGTGCAGCCCACTTCGCTATGTGGCTTCCTATGGATGATGTGGGGTGTGTGGAGAGAAGCCCATGCGCACGTGGGCTGAGCCACAGGGCTGGACATGCAGCCCACTCCATGGAACAAATGAACCTCAACCTCCTCACACCTTCCAGCCCCAACCCTGCAACTATATGGGGTCCTGTTTGCAAACACACTTGCCCCCCCCGGCATGTATTCTGAGGTTGGTGGAGCTACTGCCCATGCAGCCCCCACCCTACCCACCAGAGACAGAGGCTCCTGTGGAGCTCAACACAAGGACACAAAGTGTGCAAGAAGGAGAGAAGAGAGCATATTTATTTTTTGTTCATTGCAAGCAGAGCAGTACCAGTGGTGAGGATCCCCTCTGCTCTACAGCCCCCCCACAGGAGTGATAATGTGAGCTGGGCCCAGGGCACAGTAAAGAAAAATTTTTTAGAAAATGATAAGCATTACAGTAAAAATGTAGTTTGTTTCTTGTCAACAGTTAAAAAAATAGATCTGCTCCTCCAATATTTGGGCACCCTAGAGAGTCCATCTCACTTCCACAGAGATGGAGAGTGGCAGGTCTGGTGTGTGCATGTGCAAACTTCCCTGGCCTCTGCGTCTTCCCTGGCTGCGGGATGAAGCATGGACAGCCAAACCACACCATGTAAACGCTTGCCTTGTCCCTGAACACACAGGGTCCAGGGGGCTGGGGCAGACACGGACCTGGGCAGGGGGGTTCTAGACCCCCACGGGGGGGGTCAGGCTGGCCACAGGCAGCAGCATCCTCTGACTGGGAGTGAGGGCAGAGACTGGACACCACAGGAATATGGGCACAGTACTCTCACTTCAGCAGCAGGCCTCCATCCAGGCAGAAAATCCTCCGGGCACAGATAGTGCACTTCCCTCCACATAGGCAGTGGCCCTTCCAGGGATTTGCTCTTCCCCAAGGGCAGAGCTTAAATGCAGCAAGATGACAGGAAGCAGCAGCCGGGGAAGTTAAGCCCTGCTGCCAGTATGAGCAGGTAGGGATGGATGTAAGCATTCTTGGTGCTGAGAGCCCCCCACCAGTTGGATTTAGGCCCAAACCCAGCTGGGTTTCCCTTTACATGTCACTATGAGCACTTCTGCTTTTGCTCCGTGGCATAGAAGCGTACCCCTGCTTTGACATTGTCTCCTTTTAATGCTCCCCACCACCACTTCTGGCCCCCAGCTGTAGGACTGATTGGACACACTGCGTAGGAGAGGGCGGGACTGGGTCCAAAACTCATGTCTAAGTGGCACCTCCTTGCCACTAACAGCATCAGAGGCCAGGTGGGCATGGCCATTAAAGAAAGGACAACTTTAATTCAGTATTATCAACACCAAAGGAGCTTAATTAGAGTGCTTGCTCACTGGGCATGCCATCAAGCACATCTTTTCCCTTAGTTTTAGTGCAGAAAACCTGCCTAACACCACAGTTATGGCTACAACCACATACCCCCCTATGCATGGTGTGTGTGGTGGTTCGACCGGAAATGGGATTTCTGGGATGCTGTAGTGAAACCAATGGGTGCTTGGATTTTAATATTGGCACCTGATGTGGCCATTGGGACATTTGGATCTGCCTCTGAGAACACAGGGTTAAAAGCAGGGCTCCCCCCTGGAAGATTCTCTTTGGGATTTCTGGCAGGAGAGAGTTCAACTCCTCCCCTGGCCCAGCTGCTGGGCAGAGGGGAGAGCCACGCGGCCTGGGAGAGGTGGGCCTGACCCTGAGGGGCCCAAGGGTGGAAGCATCGAAGAACTACTGAGAAGTATTCCCCCACACACACTTCTGGGACACAGAGACAGAGAGAGAAACAGAGCTGTTGCCTGAGAGTTACCTTGAAACTTGATAAACAAATGTGGCAGCAGGCAGCACAGCTGAGAAGGAGGAAAGGGGGGGGAAGGAGGCAAAGCAGCCAGCGATGTGTCCAGCCACTTGTGGGAGCTTTTAACCCCTTTGTGGACAATGAAAACTTTACAGAACATTAACCCTTCCTAGAAGAGTGATGAAGGTCTAGGCCAGAGAGAGATGCTGGAGGAATGGAGAAGATGGAGTGGCATTTTTTGCTGGACTCTTATTTTTTGTATAACCATGGACTGTTTCCTTGTGATACAGAGACTGCTTCCGGGGGTCAATGCCTCAGAATCCAGGGGGTGAAAAAAACATGGGGGGGACAGATGTCCCAAAGCTGAGACTGTGCCTTTTTGGAAGGAGACAAGGCATCCTTAAAAGGAACCCTAGAAGCAGCCCTGGCCCATGTGCAGTGGTGAGAGCACTTGGCATGGAAGGAAGATGTCACGATGGCAAAGGATCTCCGGGTGGTGCTACGTGTGACAAGAAGTCCATGGCACAAAGAAAGACTCCTTCTCCTCTTGATGAACTGAGGATTGAGTATTCTAAAGGGTGGTGCCGGACCAAGAGTTGGTGATTTGGGGGAGGTATTATATTGGAATTTGGTGGGGGGAGGAGGAAAATGCTTTTGTGAAGTTTTCATTTTCCTTGTGTGTTTTTTTTTTCTTTCCTTGTAGTTTAGTTATTTTCTTGTAGTTTAGTTAATAAAGTTTTCTTTATTTCTAAGTAGGAGCCTGCTTTGCTTATTCCTGGTCACATCTCGCAGCAGACACCAGGGAGAGGGTATTCTCATGGGGGCACTGGCATTGCGGCAGTGTCAAACCATGACAGTGTGAAATCCCTACACAGAGAGCCCTGCTGGCCAACCTTTATCAGAGAGACTGGAAAAGTGAGGAGGAACCTGTGAGTTTAGGGAAAAGGGAATAATCATGGCATGGCAAGTCATTACAAATTCAGCATATGAAAATGGAAGCATTTTTGTGTTTAACAATAAACAAAAAGAATATGCAGTGTGTCTTTTGTTTTTTTTCCTGTCATATTTCACAGTGTGATCCAGCCTGTTAATGAATATGCATTTTTTAAAGTAGAGCTTTCCAAAGGAAGAGAAGATCTACAGATAATGCTGTTGATCTAGCAAGAGAAAAACTCTTCAACAACAGAGCCTTTCTAGAATTCTGGGCCAAACTTCTTGGACATTCTTGCCAGCAGAAAAATGAGAGAGTTAGAAGTCAATTCCACTTGGTCCCAGAGAAAGAGAAGGCTACTAGGTGTAAAATCATAGGCTGGTTAACACGTTTGAGTAAGGTCCATCTTTTAGAAAAGAGTAATTTGTATTTTGTTCTGTCTCAAAATAGAAGGAAGCTGCAAAATATCCTGCAGGCAACAGGACTGCGAAGAAGCTGTTAAATTCTGGCATCAGCTTGGTGCAGGGCTATGTCAGGGCAATTAGAGCTGCACCATGCTGCACTGTGCAGTACCACTGTCAGCCTTAATCTGCACACTGATGGGCAGCACAAAATCCAAGTTACAGCCCACAGGAAGCACAACCAGTGAACCCATATTGCTTTGACAGTTGCACTCATCTAGAAATAATGCAAAACGCTATTTAGATGTATATATCACGACCCTGTGCTCTAGGAAGAAAACAATCTAATGAGGGGCTGGGAGACTCCTTGCAGAAAACAAGCAGCAAAGACATTGGTGGTGTTGGGTTTTTTTCCTCCCCTCCTTTTAGAATTCTTCGTATTTTATCCTGTTGGAGCGCCTTGTTGGGGTTGGTTTCACCAAGCTGTTCTTTGCCTTTACAGCCTCACTGAAGAATTTGAAAACAGATGGAAAACTCTTCCAAGAAGTTAGTTCATGGCGTTCTGTACCTGCAAAACACAAAGGTGACAGTTTGACTAGGGGTCGTTCTCTGACTTGCTGGGTGTTCACAGGACAAATGCTCTGTAAAATGCAAAAATGCAAAACTCACAGAAGACACCCAGCTGCTGCAGCTGGTCTGGAGGGAGCCTCGGAAGGGTCAGAGCTGTCTTGCTGCTGAGCTCTGGGGCAGCTGACAAGAACAACTGCACACACAAGCAGACAGACATATGCACAAACACACATGTATGCACATGCACAGCCACCCACATCACAATCAGAGATCCTCAACATGTCTCGTATCTGGGAATATAAGGTCCCAAAGCACTCTGCTAATAAAAGGTCACTGAAGCACCACCTGATCTGGCCTACCTTGGGAAAAAGCAACTGTCTACTTTTCAGACATACTTTACATTATTTATTTTTCATTTTATACTGCTTTTAGCCTGGCATATCTGTTTTCAAGTGAAAGAGAACACTTGATCTGAACTACATCTCATGCATCACGAAGGCATCCTTTGTGCACCTGCTCCCACAGATAATATTGAGACAGTAAAGTGGACCTTTCCTATTTGTATCTTCCCTCTGCACACAGATTCATCTCTGTATTTTATTTTGCTATATGCTTCTATTGTTTTGCAAGTGCCTTCCTCAACACATTTGCTTTATTTAAACAACCACACTCCCTCCTCCTTCCCCCCACAACCAACCCCCAAAACAAAACCAAGACAATGGAGATAGGCAGCCAAGGGGTGTGAAAGAGTTGGGACCTCTTCCTGGGTAACCCAATTAGGCAGAGATGCTGCCTGGTAGTCTTTGGATCCTGGGCCTCTGTTTGATACTTTACCATTGCTAATGATAATTCTTTAGTCTGTGATAGTAGGTCATTGCTATGGTTACTCTACAATGGTGCAACACTTCACTTTCCCCTTCAGCTATTCGTTGAGACCCAGCAACCACATTTGTTGCCTAGCAACAGTTCTGCGACAGTATCACAATCTGAGGGTGACAACAATGAGGGACACAGTGGCCACAGCCTGGCAGATGGAGAGGGATGCAGTGCAGGGTGGATGATGGTCCCTGCAGAACATAGGGAGCCATCAGTACCTGGGGATATGAGATGGCTGCTGTGGCATGGCATTTTCTGCATTCCTAGCTTCACATCCCTGTCAGAACCTTCTAGGCATCCATCCATGGAGCATCCTTGGTGGGTCCACACACACAACACACCACCCCCCTCCCCAGAAAGTCTTTGATGGAGGCACTATCTGCCACACTGCATGTCCCTGCTCCCTCAAAGGCAGCCATCACACAAGCAAACCAACCCTCAAAAAAGCTCTCTTTAGAAAGATACTACTTCTCACACAAAGAGATGTTTTTGTACAAAGAGCATCCATGTCATGTGCACACACAGATTTTCCTCTCCCTCTTCATATTCATTGTACAGAGACAATTCATGACATCTTCCAGAAATTTCCCACATGCTCCTTTTATACAAATGCTTTCCACGTTTAAATTCACCCATCATTGTAAAAATTCTTTCTGCTGAGAGGTAGTCCATCCTATCAAATGCTGGACTTGGCAGTGCTGTGTTGAGTTGGGCTCCATGATCCCAAGGGTCCTGTCCAACACAGAAGTTTCTCTAACTCTATCCTGCAGGTGGCTTTCAATACAGATCACCCATCCCATCCCCTGTAAGACTCCTCACAGCAATACTCGTCAAGAATTGTTCCCCACCTGGGAAACACAGAAGTGGCCCAACACAGCAGGAGGATAAAGCTTTCCTTCTAGCAAAACCTGCAGCCTAACAGACACATCCCTGAGGTTACAGCTTGGCTTGGTATACTGTGACTGCCCACTGCCACCAGGCATACAAAAGTCATCTACCAAAGCTGATTTTATGGAGGGATAGACTGTCCTAACACGCTGTAAGGACACTCCTGCACAGGGGTTTCACCTCCTTCCCAGCATATGGTGAACACCTCTTTGAGCCCTGAAGGCAAAACATCTTTCCATGTGGCTTTCTGGTCCCTACACAGATATCTCCCACACAATCACATCTTTCTCACTTCTGCCTGTCTGCATTCTCCATCTTGATTGTAATAGTCATCATTAATATCCACTGGATTAAGATGAAAATATAGGCTGTGAATAATATGGGGTTTTTTCCCCCCTTCTTCCTTTTTCATCAACAACCTTCCTCCTCTGTAAAAGGGTCATCCAGAAACAAAAAATGAGGAAAAAAAAAAAAGCCAAAACAAAACACAACAAAGCAAAATGAGTAAGTTTCTGAAGCCTTCCTGTGTCTTTCTTCATCCTGCCTTCTCCCATGCACTTTCCTCATGTTCCCAAGAGAGATCATGCTCATATGCACTAGTGTTACTGAAACTGATTAACCTACAGCTTTCCTGTGGCAACTCCCCTCAACCCACTCTTCTCAAAAAACAATTCAAGCTTTGAGTCTAGAGGGACTCAATGATTCAGCAGTCTAAAGCAATTTTAACACTCCCTATTTTCCTTTTGCTAGTAACAATCTTACTGGCAGATGAACAATTTCCCTGGTGATAAAATCACTACAATGGATATTTAGTTTCCAGGATTATGATGATTCTTTGCTTGATTAATATTGCAATAAGAAAAGCTTGCTAAGTATCTGCCTTGGACCTTTACAGTCATTTCTAAAGGTCAAATTTTGCTCTTATGTATTCACACTTAACTACTACTAAAGAGAGACTCTAAAAATTTAACATTGCACACACTACATTTATGATTTATATACCAAAGGCTTGGAAAATTCAACCGAAGCAAGTGGAATTATGTCCTAAGGGTGACAACAGATTTTGACCATAAGATTTTTGCCAAAGTACCATTGACAACTGCAATCTCAATTGTGTATCCAGTAGCACATAGATCTAAATTAAATGCATGAACAGTCATCTATTTTTTAACAGAAATAATAATTTTTAAGAGACAGACAATAAGAAGCAGTTGCTCTAAAGCCAAGGTCCTCCGAGACAGATATTCTTAGTGCTCACTAATTTCAACAACCGCGATGACAAACCATGATTCAATATATTGTATTAATTGACGGGCTGTTTCACAGCATGTAGTGATTTCAGATATTAGGTCTTTGAGAAATCTTAGAAGCATGCGGCATGGAAAAGATATAAAAACCCAGTTAAGTGTGGGAAACAGCAAGAATACTCAAAAATATGCAAAGGCAACAATTGCAGAACAAAAAAGTATAAATCCCTCCTAGTCCCAGCTCCACTGAAATAAATGACAGAAACGTCAAAAAGCAAACCAGCCTCCCACTTGCCAGCATGAAGAGATGTAGAGAGAAATGAATATATATTTTAACATATGCATAACATCATTGGAAAGGAGCTCCAAAGAGATGGTGGAACCAATAATGTGTGAGGTGAAATGAGTAATGACAGTGAAAGAATGAACAAGTTCCAGAATCAATTTACCAAGTACCATAAAGAGATATATAACTAGAAATAATGAAAACTTGACAATACGGTTGTTGATACAAAAAAACAGGTAAGGGAATACTTTTAAAAATTCAATATCCAAATTTTCAGGTCTGGATGACATGCATATGTGGGTCTTCAGGGAATCAGTTAATGAACTTGCTGGACTACTGGCAATTATTTCTGAGAATTCGTGTACAATCAGGTAGGCACCAGAGGACTGGGGTGGGAATGAGAAGAAAAGAAATTTCTAATTTGAGAAATGGAGGATTAATTGAAATTAACTAACACACATAAAATTCATGTCTGAATACCAGTAAAGAAAGGGATCAACATTATAAAAAATCACAAGCACCTCTAGGATAACAGCAGACACAACAGGCTCAAATTTGACAAGAACAGATAAAACCCAAACTTAATTGAATAACAAAAATCAGCAGGTGAGAGACTTATCCACTGCTGTGTTTTTGACATAGGTCAACGTGGCAGCCCTGAGGCAGTGGGAACCAATGTAATCACTTAAAATGGATTATGACCCTCACTGCTCTAATGGGCTATGGTCACTCCTACCTCTTGCTTGCAAATCAGTTGCTTTATGCCAGTCAAGGGGCCCCCAATCACTTGAGATCTACAGTAATGTAGCTCCCAAATATGTGCTGCCATACCTGCACTGGCTCTAGCTGCCAGCAGCATGTCCACCAGCAGCTGCAGTACACATCACATATCTACAGGGTCCAGACTCAGCATCTTGTCTCATATCTCATCTCATCCCATCCCATCTCACAGATGTCGTGTTATGCCTTTCCCATTGTACATCATCTTGGACTCTAGAAAATGGGCACTGGCACACTTTCGGATAAGTGGTTAAAGCATTTGAGAAGACAAACAATAAGAAGTAATATGGGGTTGGAAAGATACCTATGAAGTCCCAGAAGGATTGGTATTTTGGCTCAAGTCTTTTAAATGTGGTTATTAGTAATCTGAAAGAATACTGAGAATATAGATACTGAATATAGGAATAGTATATTGAATAGGAGATAGTACAAACATAGGAAGAAACAAAGAAATAATAATCAAAAGGCCAGCCTAAATGGGTAGGAAAAACAGGGAAGAGGAAAAGCAAAGACTGAAACAGGGAATGGTGCCTGCAGGGGTGGTAATGCAATATGACTATGTGAATCGATCCTGATGGCCATTTGCACACACACATGCAAAGGCACTTTCACTGTCTTTCCTTTCCACTTCCATTCAGGAAAAGCAGCTCTTCACCTAGCAAGGCTGACAAATTCCTCCATCTGAAAGCAGAGTGTCTGGAGAGAGAAGAGCTCTGCAATCACCATAATTCGCTCTTGCAGAGCGATTACTGGCTGTGCAGGACAAAGGTGCCCTCCTACAGTGCCTGCCCACTGTGTCAGACAAAAGCCTCCTCCCGCGGTGCTCAGAAGATGCACAGCACAATGGTGGCCCCCCACCGCGTTTACAAGATGTGTGGGACAAAGGTTTCCTGCTGCACAGGAGCTGTGAGAGATCTTCAT